CTCGATGAGAAGAACTGAAATGAGGATGTTGAGATGGATTCTGCAGATTTCAATGAAGGATAAGATCAGAAATGAAGAAATCCGTAGACGATGTAGGGTGGTGGATGTGGTTGAGAAGATGCGAGAGGCGAGGTTACGGTGGTATGGACATATCATGAGGAGGGACGTTGAGGAAGTAACAAAGAGGGTAATGGAATTTGAGGTGGAAGGTAACAGAGGAAGAGGCAGGCCTCGAAAGAGATGGATAGATTGTGTGAGAAAAGATATGGAGGTATGTGAAGTGAGTGAGGAAGATGTGCTCGACAGAGACAAATGGAGAAGAGCAACCAAAGCAGCTGACCCCAGGACAGTCTGGGACTAAGGCTGTGAAAAAGAAGAAGAAGAAGTTCCTGTTTGGCCAGTTTAGTAGTTTTCTTCAGATCGATTTTTTTTATACAGTTCTGTCACCGGATTGGAAGGCAGCATACCTGTTTGTCAACAGGAAGAAGGAGCTCAAAGGCATGGTTAGACTTCCCAAATGTACAGTAGATATGAAATAGAGCGGTATGCTCTTTTAATGCTCCACTACGTTATTGCCTCTAGTGGGCACAGAGACGTATTGAAAATACTTTGGTAGTACTTTTTTTAGGCTGCAGTGGTTAAACGTCCCCCGCCTCGATAGAGACAGCTTCCGAATGAGTGTTTTCATATTTGCTGATGATGCTGCACAACTCACTGAGTGCTGCTTCTGCCTTGGCAGGCGGATTAATGTATACAGCAGTCAGACTAACAGCCATAAATTCTCTCAGTAGTTGAAAAGGGCGACCTTTAATATTAAGGTATTCCAGAGTACATGAGCAAGCTCTGTAGCGAGTTTCTACATCAGTGCACCAAAGATTATTAATTATGAAACACACTTCCTTTCTCTTTGCAGGTAGAATCAGCTGTGCGGTCCATTCTATAAAGTGTAAATCCAGTGGGTTGAACAGCAGTATGGATAACATTGGATTTCAGCTAGGTTTCAGTGAAACAGAAGATGCAGCAGTCTCTCAAATCGTGCTGAGTATTGATGCGAAAGTGAAGTTCATCGATCTGACTGTCCAGTGATTGCACATTTGCAGACAGGATGCTAGGGAGTGGGAGCAGGCAGGCACGCTGCCGGAGCCGCACTAACATGCTACTTCTCTTTCCCCACTTCCTTTTGCGTTTGTGTCCGTGTTTGCTCTGTGCTTGAGAAAGAAAGCTGTGTACTTTTGATTTCACTAAAATCCAAAGCTCTAAATTTCATATCCAGGAGTGTTTGTCGGTCATAGGTGTTGGTTGCACTCATATTTTTTGCACAAAAAACAAAACATGAAAATAAACAACATAAACGAGAGATACACACGCAAGATGTCGCCATGTAATGGCGCCACCTTGAATTGTCAATTGTGAATACACTGTGAATAAAAATAAAAATAAAAAAGAATGTTTTTTTTTAATTATACTCATCATTTTGAAATATTTAAATACATATTTTCTTATCTTTAATTTTCTTTTACGATATTAAGACAACATTAACCATTACAGTGAATTAATGAACTGACGGTCATGAAAGCAGTGTCAGACATACAGGTTTTATATCGGTATAAGATCTATATATAACATTACATGTATTTACTGTACATGTGAAATGAAGAGGTTTTGGTGTTTGGAGCTAAAATATGTTCAAACTATAAGTCGAAAATAACAGATTTCCATTAAACTGAGTTTGTAGTACACAAATTGCAACATTCTTGTTTTTCAACAGATATGGACAGCAATATTTACTGAATATTGAGACTTGCTGAAAGCATGAAAAATATCCTTCTCAGGGGCTGCCACAAAAAACAAAACTTGCATCATTGTAATTTATGGAAATAACCATTTCAATAACATGTTCCAGTATAATCATAATGAATGAATTTAGTAGGAATGTAAACAAAGCAGTGAATGCAAGTTGCATCCATTCCAATTGCCTGTTTACATGTCTTCATCTGTATGTTATTCTTTCTTAACTTAGAATTTAAGACGTTCTCAAAAATAAATTTTGGATTGCCACAAGAAAATTTAAATAATTTATTTTAAATCTTACTAAGCGAGTGGGTTATTTTTTCTCAAGATGCCTTTCAAGAATTTCCCCTCTACTACATGGTTATAAACAGGTACTGGTACTAGCAAGTCTGTCTTCTATTAGTTTTAATTAAAATTTTCCTGTACTGCCCAATGATTATATGCAAAACCTTAAAAAGGTGCAGGGTTATAATTAAATTGGTTGAATTAGGTAAACATACTTTAACATAAATTAGTTAAGAGAATGACTATTTTGGAATATCTGCAATCAATAAATCAGAAATGACACGAAAACATTAAATTTGATCTACAGTACATTTAGCACATTTCAAGTTTAGAGAGATTTTCATACTGTACAACTCTAAATAATTTGCTGCAGTACGATTTGTACTGTTTGTGATAAACCACTGAGTAAATGCATGCCACTTGTAACATTGGATTTAACCCCCTAGTTGAAAAGCATGTCAATAAATAGTTGTGTCAAGAAAAACTGATAATGCTTAATAATAATCTGCCATTCCTCTTTAAACAGTGGAAATTCATTCCTTTCACTTTGACGTATCTTTTAGTAATCTGAAAGCCTTTATAGCTGACAGTCCATGTTTGTCAGTCCAAAGTTCTAGCTCCATTTTTAGTTCTATTCTTTTTTTTTCAGCAACGGCAGTAAGAAAATTGAGATTTTATGGGCGGATATTGCTGATGGAATGTATAGATGGCATTTGTGGATATAAATAAAAAATGTCTAGAAGTTAATTAGGACATTAAGCATCAGGAAAGGAATTTGACTCTGGAAATGAGCACCGCACTTTGGTAAGGAGAAGGAATTTGCAAGAACTGATTTCAATCCTTTTGGATCTTTTTGTGTTTTATTTCTTATCACTTCAATACATTTTTATTTCAAGCAACCTTTGTTTGCCCATTTGAAAATGACCAGTAATCACTCCGAATTCTTACAAAACCTGAAAAAGCCTATGTAAAAACAATCATAAAAACATAATGAAAAGTATAAATTAGTTCTTTTTCAGTCCTACTACAGATGTGCTGCTGATAAACAGCTTGTTGAGTGCCAGTACAAAAGTAACACAAGTTTAGTACTTGCTTAAATAATTGAAACTTCCAAACAGGCTAGGGCCAAATGGCACCCTCTCATTATGAAACTTTTAAAGTACAGGCATTATAAGTATCTCTGTAATTCTTTGTTATGCATCAAAAGTCAGCAACGTAGGTGGTTTGTGGATTATTTTGTTCCAGAAATGAAAGTACATTGTGAAGACCAAAACCTAATTTAAAAAATAATCTAATTTACAATGCTATTACACTTGACTTAGATTAGGAATTGTTATGCCCCAATATTAAAGGTGAGTTCTTACCACCACACAATACATCACTGATCTAACTCGTGGATTGAGGTTATCCCAGATGTACTGTACATACTGGGGACAACCTGTATATACTGTATTAGTTCTTAATTAGCAGCAAATGAAATCAGTACCTTCCCAACCTTTATACAGAGATTCTTCATCATTTTTTCTGGGCTACTAGGCCACTCATAAATTACAGGTTAGGCCTACAATAAAGTGTTACCCAAAAACATTTAATTTGGTAGAATGTATATGTAGTGTAGATTTTATTGTTTTTATTACCATATATAAATAAGCAACTACAGGTAATTTAAAATATAAATATTTTTTGGGAAGTCATTCCTATACGTTTCCTTGCAGAGGGAAGTTAGGTATGTGTTAAATCACATTTTTAATTTTAAAAACTTAATTGGAAAATTGACGAACACATTTAAGATACAAGAGTTTTAAGTACGACCATTGGGAGTTTTCCTCCTGTGTTTTTGGTTAACATTTTGGTTTAATTATATGTGGCATCAGAGTTCAACAATGTTTTTGGTTTTCAAACTGCACATTATTCAATTTATGTAATAATGTAGTCTAAGTGCCATGTTCTCCAACATATGGTTTATATTATGTCACTATTGCTCTAGGGATAATGCTTTTTAATTTAATCATTATTTGTGTTTATTTCTTTTTTTTCATATAATTAAAGTTTTTGTTCTTGAAATCTTATAAATGAGCCAAAATGATAGATTAGTCAGTATTCCAAATAGTACAGAAAATCTAAAAAATTCTTGCAATAAAAGTATTGAATGCATATGTTACGAAAAAGTACCCTTAAAATACTCTTAAAGTTCAATTTTACATTTAAGTAACAACAGTCTATGAGAAAGCATATGTTTATGTCCTCCCTGTTATAGTTTTTATTTGAAAACAGGGTTTTTAGTTACTAAATGCAAAATTAATAGTATTGTATTTTCTGCCAATTAGGTTTGATTATTTGGTATTCATTGTTTTGTGCAATTAGACCACATGACTTTAAATCAAGAGAGGGTCTCTAAATCCAAGTATAGACGTAAGGAGGCATTTTAAGAAGGAGCCATGATACTTGATTAACTCTACATATAGCACATACTGTATACATATTTATGTTCATGACTTTTGCTAATATATTATAGGCTTCCTGTTCTTTTCTGCTAACCAAATATTTTGTTTTAGCTTGCCATGGATCATTTTAATTCAGTGAGATAACTTTAATTCTTATCAATGTTATTCTTCATTATAAAAAAACATGTAATGTCTAATATAACAAGTTAAGAAATGTTTATCCTCATACCTAATGTCTTATTTTGCAGCATGTTAACCAGATTTCAACACATCACTACTTGAAAATCTAAATAATACAATGAATATTGATTTTGTTGGTCAGCTGAAAACAGTTGGACAGTGTAACACAGATTTTCATGAAGTCGGGTAATACGGTGCTATACATTTGTGCACCACTGCATGAAAATGTCTTTTGAGCTTTAGGGACCTTTCTTTCACAAACACCAACAAGAACAACCTCTTATTTGAAGAGAGACTCACCCCATATTGGCCAGTTTCCACATTTGTCATGGCCCATAGGTTGAAATCAATGTTTCGATCGTTATTTTCATCTGTGATGACAAGACCTGTGACACCTGTAAAATCAGGAAAGAGCCCATTCAAGAAGCACTGTCACATATTTAAACAGGTTTAGGGTAATTATTAAGGACGGTGTAGGCTATAGATAGATGTTCAGATAAATACAGTATATTAAATCATCACTTATTGTCATTTGAGATCAATCATTTTAATTGTCTAAGTCTAAAATTATTAACATTTAAAATTTCTGTGCTACTTAAACCTTCATGCTGTGTTTTAACTGAAAACCAGAAAAAAATTGACATAAGTGGTCCATTTTAAAATCCGAATTATATTGGACTCAGCCCAATGAAATGCCACAAAGGTTCTTTCTAAGTAGAGCTCCACACTGGGATCGTAGGGTTGGCAGAAAGCCCATGTCTGTAGGTGATGCTGATCACAGCAGAAGGCTAAGTACACAGTTGAAAGGATATCACACTGTCATGCTCCTTTAAGGGAACATACGTACCTTTTCATTTAAAATAGAAAGGATTATGTAATGGGGCTCAAGCTTAGCAGTGACATATGGTGAAAAAACTTTATGTCCAAGGAGATAAACATAGTGTGTAAGGGTATAGTGGGTTTTCTTTTCATTTTAAAATGATTATTTCCAAATACAAGAAAGAGGTCAAATAGTTTCAACCCAAGGAAACTTTTAAGAGATCTGTATTTCATTGGGAATACATTGGGAATGTATTTCATTTGATGATTTAATTCATCAAAGGTCCTATTTATATGATTAAACTGACTAAAAATACACTTTTTCAGACAGATTTAGTCAAATACATTTTACACATGATTTTCCAAACTATTGCCAATGTTTACTGAAGAGTTCAAGTACTTAGACTCTTACACTATTTTGGACACCTTAATTTCCTCCTACTAGCAATACTAGATTGAAATCTGTAAATCTTGCAGATATAATCCCAAATTTTAGTCACTTCTGTTTTGATTGATCTTTTCCTACCCTGCCAAAGTTTTAAGATATTTCTTCAGAAACAGATTATTAAAACCATTTGTATTTTGACGTTGCAACAAAAATGTTTACTTCCATTTTGTCACGGATAGGTATATCCTGAAATAATATAACAAAGGATTATTTAGAAAGTAACACATACTGTACTCCATAGGCCCAGTACATTTATAAATATAAAATGTAATATTTTCAAATTCTTAAATTTTCAAAGATTACCAGAACTGGGCACTGAGGTTGTAACCAACAAAACAGGGGAGACAGATTAAGTTTTTTAAAGAGAAAGTATTAATTAACATTTTTGTGCTTCATACTGAATTATCTTCAGTGCTGAATTTTAGACAAAGCTGAGCTATAGCATGTCTGGGACTTTAGCCATTATAACATCTTTTTTTTTCTTTAAAATGCATTTTATTAACATTCTCAACATGCTTCTATCTATTCTGAAGATTTCTGACAGCACAAAACAAGGCAGTCTGCTGACAGGGACTTTAAGTATCATTAGATAGGAAGTGGAGTGCTGTTGAGCTGCTGCCTGTGTTACAGACGTAAAGCCTTAGTATTGCTTGTTCCTGATATCTCTTTCTTTACAAACTAAGCATTGGATTGAATTTAACCACACCACCTTGAAAAAGAATAGACTCCGATATGAATGATTGGGTGTATATTTGATTAAGTTGGAAGCAATCATAATCAGAAATTCCAGTAATGTCTGAGTTTAATCAGAAACAATACACAAATAAGGGCAAAACCATCTCTTGCTCTAACACATCAAAAAGATTAGAATTGTAGTCTCTTTTTCTTAAATCTGTATATTTAAAAAATGTCTTCCTTCAGTATTTTCACTAGCAATAACAGGACCCGGTAAGAAAATGTATTTAAGAATGTTTAGCTATAGCTAAATTCTTGACTGAGGGTGAACCACCTGGTCTATGTGCTGTAATATAGAAATAAAAGTGTATATATCAGTTTATATATCTATATTATTGTGATGCTAGTCAATAAAAACGTCCCTTTCCATGGTTTTATGGATGTTTTGTTTTTACCAAAAACTAAAAACTAAAAGCTGGAAGTTGACATAAAACATGACAAGACAAAACTTAAACTTAAACTTCTGTTTCAGTGACCACAAACAACCCTTTAACAACCAATCATTTACAATTATTTTGAGAATATGGTGAAATAAGTTCCTGGTTCAAAATAGCTTTAGAAATCTTGTGGCAAGCGTTTCAGTAGATTGCACTCTGACATACTTGCATCAGAACGATACAGCAGCGGGGTAAGAGCCTACTGCAGTCTCATCCTCATTGCATTGTCTAAATTATTTATTAGTTTGGGATTTGAACTACTTTAAACTATTAGCACTTATGTTCCATTAGAATATACAGCACAGCAAACATTTCAGCCTCATAAGCCGTCCATTTCTAAAGCTCAATCCATTCTTTTTTTATTGGGTTTTAAGACCAGTACTTGTTAACGTGATGCTTATTACAGGCAAAAGGAGAAGCAAATGATACCACTGCATGAAAACCTTGTTGATAGCTGATGTGGTGTCTCAGCACAGAAAACAGTTTCACGATGCAGGTACAGATATCATTGATATTAGAAACTGATTTTCTGTGATCAAACGAGGTAAAAAGTACATTTTGTCACGGGACTCTTGAGGAATCAAGGAGTAACTCTGTCATGGACTAGGGTTTCATGTCCCATTGAAATGAAGTCACATATTCTGAGTTTGCTAACTACAGAACGGAAATACCACAGAACCTGTGATAAGCCGAACCTGATGAGTCTCTAGTATAGAGTATTAACCTTCCTCTCTGTATTGTTGTTAATAATGTTAAAAATAATGTTGTTATGAATTGAATAATTAATAATAACTTGAAGACAAAGTCTTTGAACCTTATTGAAAAATATAAAGAAAGTGTAGTGGGGACCATTACAGCTTTCACTTAAAATACGATACATTCATGTGACAGTTTAATCTCTTCTTATGCACTTACCCCAGAATTTCTGATTTTGCATTTTCTGTGTGATATTTATTCCATCCTTTTGAGAACCTCCTTCAGTGAGAGTTTCATTAAGGGCTTGTGCGTACAGCATGAATCCATCGTAGAAACAGCCAGCTATAAAATCCAGCTGCAGAGCAAAATAAGAAATGCATTTACTTATGTTATTTCTTCTCTTTAACATGTTCGTTTCCCCAGTTATTCAGTATTGAAACTAAACCTTCTACAGAGGAAGTCAACACTGGTAAAGTATTAGACAGGTCTGTTGATGTGTTTCCCCATGTAGTTTATTCTCAATCACTTTTGAGAAGTCCTTTCATATTCGGCCTATTACTGGCATTGTAACTTGGCATGGAAAAATAACTTTCATCCAAAGTACATACAGTATGATGTTAAAAATAAAACTCTACAAAAATGTAAATGATATAAACTACTCCTTTAGCTACTTTTAACCACTTATACTAAATTGACTTTCCGAAGAAAACTTCCTTACATCTTGAAAAAAGTGGGACAAATATAACTTTATTGCTTTCAGGGTTTTAATGGTTGTACCTTCTCAGGTGACACATTTCAAGAACACTTCCAAAAGAGCAATTCAATAAAAAGATCACATATGCCTCAAAATATGTTACACTGTTAAATGCCTGGAAAACAGAATAATTAAGGAGCTTTTCTATCAATACCATTAAGGTATTAAAGTGTACAATTGCAAATCTACATAAAAAATAAAACATGGTCCTCAAAGGCTTCTCTTTAAATTTCAACCATAAGAAAACTCACTTTGAGCTCTTTCTGGAACTGTCTCACACACTACAAGGCTCTAATACATCTGTTTCCAAAAAGATTTCTTTTTCTAGGTTGTATAAACTACATGTATGCAGAAAAGTTAATTTCAGAGTGTCCCTCTCTTCCAAGTCCTGGGCCTCTGCATGTCTGTGGATACGCCAACAAATGAAACACTTTAGTTGAGGTGGATAAAATTTCACTTTCTAATACGTCTTTGCAGTGACTTTTCTTTTAAGGAAAGCACACCACGTTTACCACAAACTAGCCTACAAAAGAGCTGATATCATTGGAAGAAATAATATTTACATAATCCCAGTTACTGTACTTGTACATATATACAGTATAGTGTATCACTATGTCAGTCTGCAGAGTGACAAAGACAGGGAATCTTTATTAAGGCTAGAAGATACAGTAAGAACATACTCCTTTACAGTGTAACACTGTATCTCTATTCTAGTGTTAAACTGCATTACTGTATTATCTACAGTCTGTGGAATCAGAAAGCATGACTTATCAGATGGTGTCAACAAGGCTACAGTTTGAAACCCAAAATACTCAGTCTATCACAGTATTCCAATAAGACATTTTACCAACAAACAGTAATTTCAAGGAAAAATATCACCTGTAATAAAATATTACTTCTAAACCTTCTACTTCTTCTTTTGAGGATTTTCTCCATTTTTCTTTTAATATGTTTATTTATTGATGTACAGTTCAGTGCTGTCAGTCAGTCAGTGGCGGTGCTTCACTGAGTCAGACTTGTTCTGCATTTATATAGGAGGAACCTACTGCATTGTCTCTACTGCCAGTGTAGAGTTATTATATACTGTATATTGTACATGTACTTCTTGATTTACATAGGGAAAGCATTCCTGAAAAATGCAGCAAAATTCTAAAATGCTAAAATTAAAAACCCATAAGACATTATGTAAATATTTAGGGGCTCTATCCCAGCCAGAGGTTTGAACCTCTAAGCAAAAAGAATTAAACATATTTATTCATGTATGATGCTTATATATTTGTACTGAAAGTAATTTTTAGACGAAATGATGTCGATGTTATGTAAGACCTTAAAGGAACACTATTGTTAGTGGTGAAAGTCGCGTGCCCTTTGTTGTATCTAAATTGCACAATTATCTTTGTTTTTTTTTTCTGGCAGTGATCTTTTAAATAGCCAATTATTTTAAAGTTTCATGAGTAAAATTACAACATTTGTCCCTAATTTAGGACTTAAGCCATGTTGTGTTTATTGAAAGTTAAACAAGTGGAGCAACCATGGTATTCACATTAATAAAGAATTATAAAAGTATTTCTTACTATCAATAGTAGGTTCATTAATAGTAAAAATTGTAAAAAAAAACATGTCTCTTTGTTTTGAGATCCAGCTACAGAAGTTATTTACAGCATCTACAATGTCCAGTGAAACAGAATATCCATCAAATGAAATGCATTTTGTTTTTGTTTTTGTTAAGACTTATGTGTCATTTCTCATGACAACACACCGTTTATGTTTCCGTCATATTATGTCTAACACATGATAATATCGTCAAAAGCCTGGTTTTTGAAAAAATCACAAGGTGTTGTTCACAAATTCTTTGCATTAATTTTAAGGCTTTTTCTCACAGTTCAATTAACAGTTGAGGGTTTTATTGATTTTAGTTTAGATTTCTCCGTAGGGAAATTCATCAATTTCCCTACGGGATTAATAAAGTATTATCTATCTATCTAGATTTATAAATATACGTTGCAGGATAATTCAATAAAGATGTTGGATAGATTTATTTAGTAATGGTGGGACAACAGGTAACAAGAACATGAAGACGGGAGACTTCTGCCTGAGTGTCACTCAAGTGACTGTACACCCAGGCCTCAAACTGGATAATTTCCGAGTATGTTATTTCAAACTCTCTTAACTAAAGTTGCCTTTTGCTGAGTGTGGCCAAGTATGTTAAAGTGAGAAATAATCTGTCATAAATTAAGACATTTTCTATATTTTTTAAGGCACATTTAACCAAAAACTAAATTAAGTGTGCATAAATTGAGACCTACGCATATTGTCTATATTTTTAGAGTGGGTTTGGCATAAACTGTACAGATCAATTACCAAAAAAGGACAGTATGCATATATATGCTCCCATCTTATCTTTGGCCTCTGTCATGTCCAAAAGGTGAGTTTTCTACTCAATTTTAAAAGGTGAAGATGTTATGCAATGTCATACTATTGGATTAAAATCTGTAAGAAGATCTGAACTTTTTTGTTTTTAAAAACACAATTTTTCACTGAATAAGAATCTGCATGTTATTATATAATCTGCATGTTAAATAACTAGCAACTTAAAAAAAATCCAAAATTTATGTCAACACCACTACAAATTAACATTAAAAAAAAGTTAAGAAATAAGGTTGGGAAGATCTTAACTTAAGAATTTAGCAGCATTTATACTTCTTAATCCCTTACCAGAGAGGGTTCCAGTTTAACACTGAAGTCCTGTTTGGCTCTGATATGTAGTTCCTTCTGAAATTTGAAGTATTCTGGGTGGTCAGGTTCCCTGAAGGTTATGATAAATACAGACTGGCAAAATAGAGAAGACAATAATAAATTAATAGCATGTAAGAGAAACTTGGCAAAAAAGACAAACAATGCATAAAATCTGACAAAATATAAAACAGTGGATCGGAATTCCCCTCAGCAGAAAAAAAAATCACTGTTAGACAAATAAAATATTTAATATGTCCACAGTACCCCTGTGTTATACATATGTAAATAGGTCTGAGGTGTCAGGGTAAATTGATGAGAGGAGCAGATGGTTTCCAATGATGACTGCTGAGATACAATAAACCCTTTGTTGAACAAGTTAATAGACGGGAGAGGGTGTTGGTGTTAGACAAAAATCACAAATTACATTTTTTCAGCCAAATCCACATTATTATATGAGAAATCTATAGTATATATACAGGTAACTGCTAAAATAAAAAAAAACACTTTGAATAAATAAGGGATAGGCAGCGTATTGTAAGGTGCTTTCACACAAGTGTGGTTCCTGAGTTCAACAATTAAAATCCCACCATGCTTGGACTCATTTATAAAACTGCTGGGCATGCCCATTATGTTGGCTACCATGGGTGGAAGAAGAGATCTCAGAGAATTTAAGAAGGGGATAATTGTTGGAGCACGTTTGGCAGGAGCTTGACTGATGAAGTCTGTTCAGCTTGCTGATGTTTCACGAGGAACAAAGGTGATGTTGGCATGGAAGTCTGAGGAATAGACATCATCTACTATGGGCTACTGTGGATGAATGTGCGTACTCCTGGACCGATACTAGGCAAAACAGATAAGCAACTCTGGATCAGTTGACTGTGAATGTCAATCTAAGGTAATAGCAGACAGTTTAATCAAGAGAGCAATACTATGTTCGGGTTGCAGGGCATAAACCCCTCATTACACCTAAAAATGCACTTTTGAATTTTTAAAGAGTAAATTGGTGCAAAGAACACAAGTAATGGTCTACTGACAGTGGTAAGAAGTCTTATGGTCAGACGAGTCGTCTTTCACCCTGTTCTCAACAAGCAGATGAGTAGATGTGTTACACACGCCAAAAGAGGCCTAGAGGCTCGAGCGCTTGTTTCCCAAGGTGCCCATCAGAGAGCAAGGTAAATGACAATAAATGCAAAGCCATTCTGAGGGATCATGTTCATCCTATTGGTGAAGCACTTCTATCTCAATGTGAGTGGAATCTTCCAGAATGACAATGCCCCCACAGGGTACAAGTCATCACTTAATGGTTTGATGAGCATGAAAATTATGTAAACCATGCGCCATGGCTGTCCCAGTCACCAGGTCTCAACCAAATTGAACACTTATTGGAGATTCTGGAGGGACGCCTGAGATAGCGTTTTCCACCAACATCAACAAAACACCAAAAGATGGAATTTCTCAAGGAAGAATGATCTCACATTTCTCCAGTGTTCCAGACATGTGTAGAATTTATGCCAAGGCACATTGAAGCTGTTCTGATGATTCATGGTGGGCCAACACTTTATTAAGACACTTTATGTTGGTGTTTCCTTTATTTTGGCAGTTATCTGAATATGATTTCTGGATCTTCTGACTTATTTTTTGACAATTGCAATCAACACAGCTGTTAGGTAAGACATTTAAAGAGGGACAAACATATATTGCTCCAAAGACTGTGATGCCAAGTAATTTCACTATTGCAACACTCTTTGAGCAACTTAAAGTACATTCAATTTCACAGAAAAATATGAGCTCCTGGAAATGCCAGGTGATCACTGTACATATGGCATATACGCACAGTCAGTTAATGAAATATTGTGATGTGGAAGAGAATGCATTTCTTTACATAAAAATATCAAGGCTACACCTTCAGCATTATATATTGTGGTGATTGTCGTTTGAGACAGAGAATTCACTTGATTAACTATTTCCAGCCAACACAACAGGTAACTCTGAATTAACAACTCAAAAAACTGTGACGGAGACTGCTCCCTCACCTGTTCTACTTTCCACAACTGTTGCTATATGACCTTAGTTTCTTCAAACCTCTAAAGTAATTTCCTCATTGAAAAAGGAATACTGACCTCAAGATTGATGTGAAGAAAAGCATATGGAACATGCCTCCATTGTGTACTTTTTTAAAGTAGGATGAAGTTCAGTGTTTTTCGTGGGGACTATGCTGCAAAGTCATACCATTTAGATTAGACACTACAGCTCTACCTTGGCATGTAAAACAAGAATTGGTAATGTATTGTGATGGTTCAGCATGTAAATATGGATAATTTCTAAACTCATAAAAAATAATATAACACAATCTTTTAGACATTCTATATTTACTGTATTTTTATATCATGGTGTTATATGCAAAACATTAAAGTATTTAAGCATACTATTAATATCTTCAATTAATTGAGGGAGGAGCTGAAATAAGCATAGAATAACAACATTAAACACAACAACGGTGTATGTATACCGAACATCAAAATGTAAGACAGCTGCCTCCTTCAGCTAAGCATAAAGTGAATTTATAAATTATTCAAAAAGAATTGTGAAATATGAACCAGAAGGCACAACTTTGTGGAAATGCATTTAAAACCAAGAACAGGAAACCCTCCTTTACCCAGAGGGTTGTGGGAGTATGAAACAAGCTACACAGACATGTTGCTGAAGTCAACACCTTCTTCCAAGAAATAACTTCATTAAATACTTGGGCTGAATGGCCTCCTCTTGTTTGAAACCTTTCTTCTGCACTTATTCACAAACTAAACTCCACAAGGCAGGTAAGACCACTTAATTGTTCAACCTATTTCTCTTGCACATTCACACATGTGTGCCAACACTGCATGGGATTATGGATGCCCTTAATAAATAAATGTAATAAAATGTTGCTGGTTGATCCCTGAGTCATTCTGTCACTGCACTACCACTGTCACTCACTCTGACTTTGGAGCACTTCTCTCAACTGTGAATTGCCTATGGTCACAGGGGCCTCCCCTGGAGTATGTCTACAAAGGACTGTACACAATTAAAACAACAATGCAGTGCTTTCAGGAACTTCACCTTGAACTGCTACCCTACACACCACACCGTCTGAATTTTATGCCAATGGGCAGTCCTCTGTTTGAACCATTGCCAAGTGGCAAAGGTGTGCAGAATGTGCATAGGGACTGCGTAGGAAATAAAATAATTCTGCAGAAACCTAGAAGAAAGTTTTGGAACATGTCTGGTGGATATTTCAGAAATTCACTTAGTGATGTATATTCATGTCTCTTATTATTAATAAGTCTGACAAGTACAGAAGCAGGGCTGACAAGGAGAGGAACTGGTTGGCTGAAGCTTGAATGTCTGCACCCTTTTTTGTATTTTATTAAAGTTTCATAATGTGGATTGACAGAATAATATGATTAGGAACACATAGTAAATAAGACTTATTGGCATCCAGATTTCACTTCACACATCTGTACAGTAGCACAAAATGCAGCATAGGGTTATCTTTTCTGTGTATATATGTTTCCAGTTGCTCGTGTTATAGTTCATTAAAATTAAATCCAATAATTAGTGGGATGAATCCAATAATAATATTTTAGAATTTTCATCAGTTCATGGTACTCTGAATCATATTTCACTTTTCAAAAGCAATTCATTTGCAAGCATTTTTTTAAAAAAACAAGACATTAAATTCCTTAACTGCCGATTTGATACCTGAAAAATCTTCATAGTATCTGTTCCATCTGTTATCTCTTTGTTGTGCCAGGGCTTCTTAGCTTCTCTATTTGTGTCACCTTTCAGGCTTTCTGCAAACACATCCAAATAGAAGATGGCATAGTCTTCATGATTTAATTTTTCTTTCTGGAATTGGTTCATTATCTCCAGAAAGGTCTCCAAGGGTCCACAGATATAAACAACTGGAGGATACAAAAGAGAAAGTAATCAGTTGCCATCATAACTTGGAAAATGAGATTCAGATTGAGAATAGACTCAGAATGTGCTTTTGTCTTACATTGATCATTACAAAATGCACAGTATAACCCATCAATTTTACTAGAGCCTTACTTTCTTGTCAATTAAGGGAATTACTTGCTGTTGCTAAAAATAAAATATGTGGCAGAGATTGCGATTGGTCATCCATCATCAAAATTGTTTAAGGCTATAACAAACAGCTTGTCTGGTTGAAGTATACCACTTCACATTGAGATTCAAACATATTCATAATTAAGGTGTTGCAATGAAATGCTAAGTCCTCACATAAAATTGCTCTGATTCTCCCCTTGAATATTAACTATAGTACTCAACTTACTGCTGAAGAACTATGCATGCAACAGGCATATTGAGGCACCAGCTGGGTGATAAAAAATATTAATAAGACAGAGAAAGCCATCAGTCATAGTGATAATGGAATGTGCATATTAATGAGAGCTGCCTGAATATATTAAAATAAATATACAGTAAAATGCTATAATTCTACCATAAGAGTGCTTAAACTTGACTATAGTGAGATTTCACATTCTGTTGACAGCTGCAGAAATATGGAAAATTAATTTCCTAAAACTCTCTGAAGCAGAAATTATAGAGTTGACCATCTTTGTGGCCAACAAGTGCACAACTTCATTATCATTGAGGTCCTAATTAAGGAAAATACCCCAAAAAACACACATGTCATATGCAGGGCACATTTTGCTGAGAAAAAGAAGTCACTAAATTTAGGCATGGTCTCACACAATACAGTACATGTGGTTGGTGACATTGTCTTACACAAAGTACTAAGTTTGAGTACTGTGATGTAAGCTTTAAGTATGTGCATCTGTAATGTAATGTAATGCAAAAAGTAATGTTTTACATTACTTTTTCATGTTGCCTGCTACATGCTGATAATATTATTTAAAATGGTAAGCATTTAGGCCTGATTTTTAAATATTTTATATTTTATATGGATTGTTGCCAGCTCTGTGGCAGTCCTCCAAGTGACCAGGCATTTCCTGAAGTGCCCAGCTACAGTGGGCAATAACCAAACTTTGAGCCAAAGTCGGATTCATTTTTATTTAACTTTGGCTTATGTCTGGTCACGTCAAAAAGTGCCCAGTGTCTATTGGACACATGCCCAAAAAAAAGAGAGGAAAATATTCCAATCTGTAGAGTGACTGAAATAAAATCAGCCATATCTTTTTGTTTTGATTATACAGATAATTTAATAACATTTAAACCTTTCATAATTTATAACATGGAACAAAATGAAGAGATTTTTTCAAACAAAAAATGCAAAAGTAATGAAAATGAATGAAAACCATGGGACTGCGGAGCAACATGATAATTTATACTGTATTGGGAGTAATGATCATGGTTATAATACTGAATTGTATGACTTACATTTTTATTACTTGTAGCTATTCCAGATGTATTCAGAAACTCACAGCTACTGTGCTGGCACTTTCTGACAGACCAGTTTAAGACCATTTATGTACAGTATGTATCAAGTTGCATATGAAAAACATACCAAGGCATTGACTTGACTGTATTACAGGCTTTTGTCTTGTACAAAACAGTGAACATAAACCAAAGCCTTCCTTCTCCTCATCCAAAAGCGATCTGCAGCATAGGTTAAGTTCTTCCTAATCTTTGCTTCTGCAAAGCTGTTTTTGAAAATTACCACAATAATTACCACTGCAGTAGTGCTCTAGATGTGTCACTTGATGGTTAAGGGTTCATATCCTGTGTGGGACACTGCTGTTGTACTGTTGGGCAAAACATTACAGTACATGCAGAGTAAAATACCCTGCTATACAAATGCAAGTTACTTTGGATACAAAGCAAATATTAATATCACCTAATATGTTTACAGAAAAATAGATGTTTATGTGTTTTGATCTTAATACTGTGTGTCAAGTGGTTCCTGAAAGAGTCTTGTATATTCAAATCAATGATAAAGAGCATTGCAAATATTTTTAAAAATTTAATGATATAATCTTCTCTAAGCTCCCATTTGATCTTTACATATCCATGTTGTTTGTCCATTTCAGTGTGAAAAATTATCAGCAGTCTTTCCAAACTACATTTGCAAAAATGAAGTATATTGTAATTTGCTAATGTGTAAAAATAAATTATTGTCTTTGGTATAGTTTTGCTTTTTGAAATAATAAAATGTCCTTATTAATGACATTTATTTTTTAGGACCACTATATTGTAGGTTTTCACAACCCTTAAATCATTAATGAAAACAATGACACCTGATGGTTGGTATATTATATTCCATTGAAAGGTAAGCAATATTAAAGATTATTATGTTTTTTTAGAGTAATTGTTAGTTAAAAAATGATTTTTTATACAACACATTAGACACCATTACAAATCATTTAAACATTTACACTAAAATGATCAATTAGAACTTATTAAAATTCAGAGAATGTGAGTTAAAATATTATATTATACAAAAGACTGATTCGTGATTTGAAGTAATTGATACGTAACCACTTTACATAGTCTATAACCATCAGTATTTATGCTTCTTATAATGACACGTGTGTGTTTTTACAAGTTTCTTCTTCCATGTGGTTAAAAGCTAGCAATGAGGGATGTGGAAGCTCCCCTGATGTAAATATTTGTTTTAGATTTGTACTGCCTTTCTTAGTACACACACATCCACATAAACCCAGACATAAGCACAAATATAGTTATCTGTGTCTTACAAAGTCTGTTCTTATTATTCTGTTTGCATGTGCATCCAAGAAAAAGAAGGGCCTTAAGGTATTAGCTTTTGCAATGTGACATGGGATCCTATTCTAAATGTCTTTCATGCTTTATTTGAAAAATTGCTATCATATCTGTCTTTTTTACATTTGTAACCTGAAGTCATACATTTTGAACCAGAATCAACTAAAACTGACATATTTTGGTGATTTTGTCCCAGAGCTGTTTCTTTAATTAATCATCTTCTCTTAATAACCTGTTGCACTTTTTCTCAACTTTAAACCAATAAAAAAGTAGGTATTTAATTACAGCCCTGTCAAAACCACTGCCTCCTCATAAAAATAAACCCAGAAATCAAAGCAAAGTGATAAGCACACATTATATTTGATTTTGGAATTTTATACATTCTGGCTTCTTGTCTCTCCCAGCTTGTTAATTGAGCATGATATAATTCCTGGATTGAGTTTTAGAAAATCGTTTTTTTACAAGAATGGAAATGGCATTTTCTATTGTTGTAAAAGAAAACTAAAGAAGATAGAGGTAAAATAATTCCAAGGAAAAGAAACATAATGTTCTCCACAGCATTGCCAAAATAATTAAGCAATAGTTGTATGGTAATTTAGGATAGCAGGAAGGATGAAAGGTCTGCTATTATTCTGTGACATTCCTGGGCATGTTCATTATGCGAACTGGATGCAGTACATATTATTAATTGTTCCTATATTACAGTATGTTTTCACGCCAGGACACCAGATAAAATTCCTTGTACATGTTGCTGTACTTGGCCAATAAAGTGATTCTGATAAACTGATTAAGATTCTTCTCTTCCAGAAAAAAATCCTACTGAGCATATTATAATACCTTTATTTTTTATTAATACATCTTACACACTTATTTCATTTGTATTATGTTTCTTTTATTGTTATGTTAAAGGACTGCTTTTTTCATTTGGAACCCTTTAAGAATTAGTCACAACTTATAAATTTATGCCAGTTGATTAAGAGAAGTATCTTAGAAGCCTACAATGATTTTTCAGTTTAAAAGATTTTTGTTTTGTTTATCCATCACTACTAAGGATATACCGTGTTCTACAGTATATTTCTGGCCAAACACAATATGTTTTGTTGCTGTAGATGTGTTGAGTCAATACTGTTGGGCATCATTATCTTAAATGAGTCAAGAAGTATTTACTGGAGAGGAAGAAAAGAGCAGCTGAGGCAACAAGGGTAGCACCAGATTTATCTTTAGTTGACCTCCTCTGGGATGAAATAGAGAGGAATGTTCATCTAAGAGGATTCCACACTGTGGACAAGCCCTGGCAGATTCCCCAGAAAGTATGTCCCTGACAGTCACAGGAAGGTCTAACTGTGTGACCCTGAGGTCATGGCTACGGGTTCTTAAATGAAACAGGAATCACTATCATAAACATTTCAGATCATTAACTCTTGGTGTAATGAAGTGCTTTCTTGTTATCTGCCTGGCTACTTTTTAGTGTTTTGTTGAATCCACTGATGTGAAACATGGCCTTTTCATGTACTCCTTGTTTTTGACATATAGTACTGCCACAACATACGTCCACGACAACTATCAAAATAGGCTAAGGAGAAACAGCAAGCATTTACAACATTAATATAGTTCAAGGGTAGTACAAACGTTTTCATAATTTACATATATCATCCTGTAGCCTATAATCAAATCATTCAATTTCGGTTTAGGGTGTTAAAGAAGACTTTCTGCAACAGTAACCCATTACACTGTAACAATGTAATTTCCTCTGTGAACAGTTACAGTCTAAATAGCTTTAGTGATAAAATATAGAAGTGAAAGATAAAACTTTGATGTGGATACCTAGAATTAGGGATATTTGGGGATACTTATACAGTATGTTCATGAAATTGCTCTAGCGATGCAACTGCAATGAAATGCACAACTTTCACCTATCAAAATGTGGTAATCTGAGTCAGGGGCTGACTCAGTTGATTCACTTCCCAATATTCAGCTCTCGATTATTAACATGAGAAATACTTGCAAACATAAAACAATATAGCTTTCTTCTTAAATGAGTGATTTACATGCCTGGCAATATAAAGGATATGTAAGATTTCATAAATGGATAAAACTTATCACTGCTGTAGTACTTATTTTTAAGTTTCACTTAAAATAATTTTAAAAAGGAAATGTCATTACAGTATTTGCATTTGTTTAGTTCAAAGTCAGTCTTGGA